AGGCTTGTGCCTACTGAAGCTTCTGCCCAGGCAGACAAAATCTTTGTAGTGCCCGTCTGGGGCAGAGTGTGAGCTTCCAGGTGGCAGGTGACAAGGAAGGTCAGGGCCAAGTTTCTGATATCAGATTCTTTTCTTTTCTTTCTTTCTTTTTCTTTTTCTTTTTTTTTTTTTAGGTACTGGGGATTTTTTTTTAGGACAGGGTCTCACTGAGTTGCTTAGTGCCTCATTTTTGCTTAGGCTGGCTTTGAACTCGTGACCCTCCTGCCTCAAGCTCCTGAGCCACTGGGATTATAGGTGTGCTGGAATTATAGACTGCTCCTATCAGATTCTTGATTCTGCATCTCAGTCCTCTTGGAATACCTCCCAACATATTAGTGCTCTGAGAAAGTGCAGATGCCCTGGGCAGGGAAGGGGGTTCAGTGGTGGAGTGCATGGGGTAAGAACAACAATGGCAGATCTCTTCTGGAGTTCCCAGAGCCCCAGGGTTGCATTGAGGAGGGTTGGAACTTTACATTCACAAGAATCGTCACAAATATGAACTTAAAAATTTCCAGGGTGACTAATGTACTGGCTGTAAAAGCCAAGTGTGCTTATAATTTCAAATTTTGAAAACCACTTTTTTCCCCCCTAACAGTATTACCATCAACTGTTCTCTTGGGTCCTGCAAGCAACTTTGTCTCTAATCATCTGAGGAGGGTGAAGACAGGGCAACTTGCTATCTGATGGACCCACAGCCTAAAGATGACTCACTGCTTCCTGGGGAGCCCTGCTCACTAGTCCAGAGATCCAGACCCACAGAGAGTCTCATCACCATGCTCAGAAAACTCCCAGACTCAGGTTTCCTGATCTTTCCATTTTCTCAGTAACGCATATCTTTTTCAGAGAAATATTGCATTTTGGGATTATGATGCCGACTTCACTGAGATTTTCCTTATAGGGACAGCAAAACCTAATTTGTCAAAAGAACAATATGATCCCACCCAAATATCTAGAGAACCTGAGATATTGACTGAGATCTCTTTAAAGACCGATGAGATATGAGAACAATATTTATCTCTAACTCCCTCCTCTGTCTCGAGCAGGACTTGTTGGGATGGAGGCCCCTTATCAGAATTACATGGAATGATGGTAATAAAGCAGATTTTTTCACCCCAGTGCAGAATTACTGAATCTCTGTGGGCCTTGGGTCAGAAACTACATTTTAAATAAGTCAAGAATTATGATCTTATATTTACTGACTTTTAGGAATCAATGTTTGGAGCAGTGGTTCTCAAAACACAGGAGGCTTCAAAATCAACCAGAGGGCTTATAAAGCATAGAGCCTGGGCCTCACTCTCAAGAGTGCCTAATTACTAAGTCTGGAGCCCAGTACTTTGCATTTCTAAAAAGCTCCTGGCTAGGCTGCTGCTGGTTTGGGGGCCACATTTTGAGAACCACTGATTTAGAACAATTAAATCAATTTTTTTTCATGTCCATCAGGCATAACCCACTTAGTGTTTCGGGGAAGCCCTCAGGAACAGACTACTGGAGGTAGTAGTGGTGGTGGGTTTGTTTTCTGTATGTTTGGGAGGGGAAGGACAGGGGAAGCAGTGCAGCCCCCTTTCACCCCCAGGAGCCTGGCTGGCCTCCAGGTCTCCAGGGAGCCCATGGGATGGGTGTGAGCCTCTGTTGATGACCAGAATCTGTTGCTGGATCTTCTAATCCTTGGACACTCAGTCTAGCTTCAAGTCTCCTCTAGGGAAAATACATGATGGATTGTCCAAATCTAGAGCTTCCAGAAGATGCTAGTACTAAGCTGGAAAATCACAAATACAAAAGGCAGAATCCTCATCATCATGGCTAACCAGGAAGAAATCATCTCTGAAATGACAGCTGGGCATATTCGTATGGCAACAGATCACCAAGCCAATGGCGATATTTCAGGGGTCTCAGGCCTCAGTGTTTGCATTCTTTGATCTAGGAAGAATTTCAGGGCTCCTCAGACCATGGAGGTGCCTGGCTGTGGTTTAGAGGCTAGTTCCCACAGGACTGCTTCCTTTCGTCCTTAGACACCTGCAGTTTCCAAGTTGGTCACTAGAGGTCTCAGCAGGCCAACAGTTATCTTAGGCCTTAAGGGACCAGGGCCCACCAGGAAGCCTGAAAAAACCATCCACCACTCCCAGCTGGTTGATTTGATCAGGGAGCTATCTGACACAGGGAGAAGTAAGGTGAGGGGCTCTTGCCTCCACCTGCCTGCTCAGCATCCTCAGTGGGCCAACTGATTGGTCTTGCATGGTGGCCCATGGATGCCATTTTCTTCCTCAAACAGTGGTACAGCTGTCATGGGAGAAGGACTAGTATCCCCAAAACAATGACAGTTGCCAACAAGGGGTCCACAGTCCCTTTCCATAATTTCCAATAGCTGATCCCTCCAGATGCCATGGTGGATTGGCATTTCTCAATTTTAAGTCAAGCGTCATGCCCTTGCATAGTATTTTCCTGTTAGATTTGCCACTTCTAAGCCCCTTTTATGACAAAATTCTGGAAGTGAAATTCTATCCTGGTAATACTCTCAGAGATAATGGCTCTTTGCAGTGCTAAATTTTGTCCAGCCGAACCTGAAAAGTACACACGAAATTATCCACCTCTGTGATGTTCCTCATCCTGTCACATCCTGTCCTGCTTCTCCCACTCAGCTTTGAATTAGTGTCAGATCCAATATCCTGCTGCATACTAGGTGTGTGTGTGTGTGTGTGTGTGTGTGTGTGTGTGTGGTATTTTGGAAAAAGTTGCATTTTAAGCCAAAAGATATATGAAAAACTCAAATGGGCCAAAATATTAAATCCAGTGATGATTCTTTGCCCTATAAAGAAGATATATCACAAAGATGTCATGCGTGTCATGGGAGAAAAAGCTCTGCTAAAATGACATTGTATATTTGGTTAATATTGGTGTTTCCATAATTTTATGCTAAAAAGGGGGTTGATCTCAAAATGTTGCTGAAAGCTTGCATGTGTAGGTTTCTATTCTTGCCTTATTGGTTTTCAAGTTAGTCTCTAACTGCTTTGGAGACTTCCCTGGCCTTGTTAATTTGGTTAGCAATACACTGAAAAAGAGAAAATGTACCCTTATTCACCTACTGAATCACCGTAAGTTTCAGAACTCTAATGAGTGGGCTCTTGGGGAGGAGAGAAGCAGATCCCATCCTGATACCACCAAACTGCAAAAAACGACATATTTGAGATGACAAAACCTGGAGTTTGCCACGTCTACTGAGTTTGATGGGCTCATGTAAAGGGGACAGGCCATTTGCTTCTCATATGCATCTTCTCCTTCCTGCCCTTGCTCTTCTTCAGTTAGTAACACAGACTCACAGTGTTCTTGCTTCTGTAGGCTGTCTCTGTTTGCACAGACTGACTATAACTTTTTCCATAATCTTACAGAAGAAAATGAATACTGGTAGGAGGAAAGTGCAAGAAAAACAGCTCAAGGTTAGCAAGCAAATGTGACATGATGTACCTTTTGAAGTTGACTGTTCTGAAACTCATTTTACAAACGAGAAAACCATAGTCCAGAGAGGCACATTGACTTTCTCCAGCTCACCCTGGCAGACCCAGTGAATGGGACCTGGGATCCTTTCTTGAGATGTAGACTCCTTCCCTTTCTTTCATTTATAAAAAGCTCTCCTGATGGTATGTGAAGGGTTCTATTTCAGAGAGAAAGAAGCTGGGATACAACTCCAGTAAATTGCTTTGATACAAAGAAGAGGATTGAGTTTTAATCCAGACAAGTTACTTTCTCTCTTGAGATCTAAGTTTTCTTCCATAAATTATGGGATTTGGAGTGAAGGATCCAAGCATAAGGACTTTGGGGCTCCAGAATTCCATGCATCTCTGAATAGCCGTTTGGGATCTTAATACAATAGGGCTTGGACAGGGCTCAGTCACATCTCATGAGAGTCCCTTCAATTTTAAATTTTTGTCATCTCTGACAGCTAACTTGGAACATTTCCTCCTAATTCCCATTCAACACACATTCAAAACCTCAGTGAGAGTGAGAACACAAGTCAGTTCCAACCCTCAAATCACAGCCAGGTGGAAGAAGGCTGTAGTGAGACAGGATAGCATTTTAAATGATCCAGGTATGCCCTAGGCACAAATATCTTTTCCCGAACTTGTTTGCTCCGTAGATCTAGTTTATCACATATTAAATTTGCTCATAGTGGAAATAGTTTGTGTAGAATCCAGGAATACCAAAAAGATTTTTTTTTGTGTGTGTGTGTGTGTGTTTGTATGTGTCTATGCGTATACAGTGAAAGGTCAAAATAGTCCATACCTGGCCCTAAGGCCCATTATTATCCTTTCTTCTTTATAATACTGTTTTTTCCCATATATGTTTGTATTTCCATCACATACATATGTACAGAGAGAAAATAATAAATGAGAAGATTACCACTTCTCTTCATGGCTCATTTTAACCCTGTCCCTTGGCACAATGGTGTTTATATTCATAGCATCCAATTCTATGGAGAATGACAGAGCAGTAATCCATTTAGGACCGCAGCGGCAGAGAACACTGGCTAGGCGGTGGAGCCCACCCTGGCCCCCGAGGAGAAGCCCACACGCGTGGTTCCCCACGTTGGAGTGTGTGCTGCGGTGAGAGCAGGGGCGCGTGCCTGGAATGCTAAGAGCTGACAATCTGAGGGTGCATTGTCAGAGAACAATCACCAAACGCATCCCCCAGGACTCCCCAACTCCTTCCCGCGGAGCTGCCAGGCTTACAGCTGCACGTGCTCTGGCTCTTACCCCATGTGTTGGGGACTGTGTGTGTGAGAGAAGCACAAACAGAAAACCAGGAACAAAGACATAGGATCTACAGCTTAAAAGTGACGGTTCATGCGGCCCAAGCCCCAACTGCGGAAAGCGGGAGTCGGAGGAGAAGAGCAGAGAAGACATGCGGGAACGCAAGGCGGAAGCGCACAAAACACAGCTGAACCCACAAGGAGCCATGCTCACACTTACATGGTGTGGTCTCACACTACCTTAGTTTGCCTTAAGCATTTCCATCATCTGAGAGTGTCGGAGGGAAAAACAGAAGGGTTAAAGATAAATGAGAGCTCACACTTTATTTTCAAAGATTAAAAATAACAATGTCATTTCTAGCCATCCCATTCAGCATGTGATTGATTCACAGCGACAAAGAGCCCTTTTTCAGAGCCAGACTGGCTGCGTTCAGACCTGGGTTCTGCCACCTGCTAGCTGCAGGACCCTGGGTCAATGTCTTATCTTTGTGTGCCTCTGTTTCCTTACCTGTAAAATAGGTCTAATAGTAGTACTTACCTCATAAGGTTGCCGTGAGGATGGTATAAATTAATACATGCAAATATGTGGAACATATCCTTGTTATTTTTTTTAAATCTTTGTTTTCCTCAAGCAATACCCTTCAGACTAGAAGGAATAAAGTTGTATAGAAACCCAAGAACTCAGAGAGACTTTTAACTATTCAGTAAGAAAAATGATTCAGAAGGAAATGACAAAGTAAGAAATGCATGGGTTGTGCATGCGTTCCATATGTCACTATAATTCTTTGAAGGCATCATTTCAAATTCTGGATTATCCCAAAGCAATTCAGGGTAGCTTTTGAAGAAAGATAAGTAAAAATCAATTCTACACACACAGATCAATTAGAACTCTAAAGCCTGGTTCACATTGTGCAGTTCAAGGCCACGCACATATCCTCAGGTATTGCCCTCTGGATGGATGTCATCTCTCATCTTCTCAAATGCTCCCATCTGGTGTCTCTCAGAATTGCTGAAAGGTGCCAGTGCAAGGGCAGGAGTGGGTGTGGGTACCCACTGGTTTGTCAAGCTACATAGGAGGACAGCTTTCTTTCTTCCACTTTTCCCCGAAATCACTTAATTAGTTTTGACCTCATTTGGCAGCATATTATGGCCCAACAATAAAGAATGGTACTTAGGAGGCTAAGGCAGGAGGATCGTAAGTTTGAGGCTGGCTTCATCAACTTAGTGAGATCCTGTTCAAAAATAAAAAATAAAAAGGGCTGGGATGTAGCTCAGTGGTAGAGCACTCCTGGGTTCAATCTCTAGTACTGCAAAAGAAAGGAAGGAAGGGAGTGAGGGAGGACATTTGGTGGGGGTGTGACATCTTAGCCTAAAAGAAACCTGCAAGTGAAAGTCCCCATGGATGACCTGGATGTAAGTGTGCCTTTGATGACCACACTCTGTGCAGTATCAGTGCCTAGTTCCTCACTTTCCCTCAACACAACTGCTGCTCTCTCTACCTCCTTGTGGTGTATTTGCATATGCAGAACAACCTCATTTAAAAACATGTGGTCTTAATTAAAAACATGTGATATTGCATGAATCTCAAAGTAATTAACTGTCTTCTTCTTTGGCTCCATGGACACCCAATTCCTTCCTCCCCAATAATTCTAATTTGATTTCATAGCTTCTCATTTCCTGCTTCCCATTTGGTCCTCTTCTTGCTGATCTCTTTTTGTTGTTACCTAGGTTGCTTCTTATATATCACTGGCCTGAGGAAGTTTTCAGGGTAGAGGATCTAGGCCTTTCCTCCATGTTTCTTGTCAAAGGCATGAACAACCACGTTGGCTCTTTTCAGGACATGACCAAATTTGCATAAAGCAACTTGATTATTTTAAGTTGGGTACCAGAAGTATCATTTCGAATGAAAAGTGAAAGGCAACATTGGAAATTTTCAGCTAGTAGACTACAGAAGGGGAAATTTGTGAAGAACATGTCAGAGTTTGGTTAGTAACTCAAACTCCCTTTGGAGCACAGGCTCTCTCTGCAGGGAGTCCCTCTGCAGGGAGTGTATGTTCGATCCCTGGCTCCCTGAAATAGACATGGCAATGAAAGTACATTCTTCCACAAAGCAGAGTACGTGTGAGTGTATGCACATCCCGGTGACACTGTCATACTCTGAGAAGACCTCTGCTTTGAGCAGGGTTTTAACCAGGATCATTTTCTTACATGTGAACTCCTGAGTTGAGTTCCCCAGCTGAGAAGCTGCCAGTTGGGCTGCAGGTTCATCAAGTCTGGTTTGAGTTTTGCTCTCTCATGCAGCCTCTCACTATATAAAATGCAGTATGCCCCACACTATGGGAAGGCGTTAGGGCTGCCAGTGATCACAGTTTCATTTGGCAGGAAAGCTGGCTTTTAAAGACACAGTCTTAGATCTTTCCAATCACAGGTACTGTTTCAAGGACATAGATCACATTTCTCAGGCTCTGGAACACAGAGAAACACCTTGATCTGCTCAACACTTTTTTGAAGGGAAGCTATTTATGTCATTAGAATGTTGTTCAGGCAAAAGTGCAAATGGGAGAAAGAGACAGAGGATACTGAGGAAAGCAAAGGGATTTCAACCAGAAAAAGTAGGTCTAATGAATTGATGTTTGCAGAAATGGTGACATTTAAACAAAATTATTAAGCAATTAGCCAAATTATAGCTAGGATGGGAAATACAAGATGATTTCAAAGGGAATCATTTCAAATAAGTCATTATCTTGGTTTGGAGTTATTATCTTGCATTATCATCTTGCATTTGGTTCCACATCAAATGAAGAAGGTCATTATTTTGATAAGAGATAGAGGCAGCTATGCTTTTTTCATTGATGGGACAGGAAGTGCCACATCTCCTGGGGAGTCAATGAGCTCATCAGCCTGCAGGACCACATATGGACGGCTAGTACCCTGGGTGTAGTGAAAATGGCTGTGGCGCCATTATCCTGCACAGGATGACTTTGAGTTAAGAGTTCAAAGACAGTCACTTCCAAGTCCTGCTCTGGGTGCTAATCCTCTCTATAGCTAGGTCAGTTACATCCCTAGGTTTCAATGGGTAGCCCATAGAGGAAAGGGCTGAAAGAATAGGTTCTGCCATCACAGGTGCTTGGATGCCTTGAGAGTATTTTGGTGTCCTATTCTCAGCTCATTAAATTGACTGACTTTTTAAGGAGTGAAGTGAGTGTGTGGTGTGTGTGTGCACACGTATGTGTTTGTGTAGTTTGATCAGAGCAGACTAATGGTTATTGTTAGTTGGAAACAGCTAAGGAAATAATTCCAATTCTTTGTAAGAGTGCACTCCAGGAGAGATGGAATGTTCATAGTGAGGGAAGGGAGGAGGAGAGAAAGGGAGGATGAGGTTGGGAAGGGCAGGACAGGGAGTGGCTCCCTTTCAGATATGCAGAATGATGGACGAAGCCTTGCCTGCAGTCTTTAACTTTCCTCTTGCTTTCTCAGGGATGGTGAAACTCTTTTCCTTGTGATCTAATGATATCATGGGGGTGGAGGGATGAGGATCTCATTAACAAAGTGTAATTCTTTTGAGATGGTATAAAATACCCTCCTCACTTCCTTCTTGAACTAGAGGGAACATGAAACTTGAGTTAATTATTGCAAAAATTATGTTGAAGTTCCTTCCAGTTCTATATTATAGCTAGTAAAAAGAGGCAGTTGAGAGAAGAGAGGTAGAGAGAGGGCCAACAGGCAGTGAGTTTCACGGAAGAGGCAAAGAAGAGATAAAATGAAAGATCTACACAGAGAAAGACACATGTGGGAAAGGAGACTAATGATAGCTTAGGGATGGCAATATGAAGTACCCCAACACACACACACACACACACACACACACACACACACACAGCATGCAACACATATTAGACTTCAATGAATCAGCATCATTGTTTGGTCTCATTCCATTTTCCACTCTTTCTTTTAAAATTCTCTGTTGCACATTTAGAAGAATGGGCCCAAACAAGGATGCATTGTCTTCATTCATGTCCCTAGAATGGAGAGAAAGAGTTGAATAGAAGATAGGCTTTATGCAGAATGTGGACTTCAGGTCACTAAGGAAGCTTCTGTCTCAGCTATGTAGTCAGATCTCAAGACAAACCTCTTCTAGTGCACTCCTGATACCTGAGAGTGGTCCTCAGACCACAGGTATCATATTCCAATCAAGGCTGAGGCAATGAGAGGATTTCTTAGGGAAATGGAATGGGATTACTTTTACCAAAGTTAGATGAGTCTTGCTGGTTCTATGTACATATACAAACAGCATATTTCTTCTTTGCTATGAGCCCACAGACAGGCCTTCTACCATCACTTCTTGAATTAGAGAACTTTATTCTGAGGACTCACTAAATGTAAGAATCACTCTTTTTGTAGTGGCTCAATCAACAGATTGAAGTTTCATTCATTAAGGAACATTATTTATAGTATTTAAAACATCAAAAAGAGACGGTTGTTACATTTTTATTGATTTGCTCCAACTTGAGTGAACAGCTGTCTCATTTATTTGAAACTTTAGAAAAACCACCAAACGTCCCTCTGAATAAGTATTTCTTTTATATCTGGGTGGTTTGCACTAAGGCCTGGAAGTTTGAGTTCTGTAGTTTAATTTCCCACTTCCTAGGTGGTAGAGGATAATAGGCGGGATGCTGAGTGTTGACAGATTTTTTCCTTCAAAAAATTCATACAGTGCTCAGTGGTGGAGGGTAGCAATGAAAAGAACAGACAGGAAATAAAGTCCCAGTGAAAATGATTTTCAGTTAGAGGTCTTCAGGGAAGAAATACAAGATGGTACTCTGATTCACTGTTAGAATCAGAGAGACCTAGAGTTGGATGACATGACCTTGGTAACTAATTGTCCAGTCAACTTGCCTCATTTTATAGATTAGGATACAAAAACTCTATAGAGAGGACAAGTGACATAGCCTGTCACTATCACTGTTTTGAGATGGTGTAAAATACTCTCCTCGCTTCATTCTTAAATTAGAGAGAACATGAAACTTGAGTTAATAGTTGCTTCCCATATTCTAGAGAAGAACAACATTTTTTAAAGCAGTGATATGCATTAGGCAACACAGGTTAAATATCCCTTATCATGAATGCTTGGGACCAGAAGGGTTTTGGATTTCAGACTTTTGTTGGTTATATTACATATGTTTGCATTAATTTTATAAATGAGCTATCTTGGGGGTGGAATCCAAGTCTAAACATGAAATACATTTATGTTTCATATAACCTGGAGAT